ATGTCTAGGTGCAGAGGGCTAGCTGGGGGGCCTATGGATGCAGAAGGTGAAGGTCAGTGGGACAGCAGAGCATAGGCATGTGGTGATACTGGGATGTGTGTCAATGCACAAGCGAGTAGCTCTCTGCACAGTAACCCCTCCCCCAGGGGCAGGAAGTGGGGGGGAGGGTAGAACTTCTTACAGCTGAAGGAGGTTTCTGTGGGTGGGTCTCACCCAGCCCTGAGCCTGGTCCTGGTCCCTCATTTCGGGGAAGAGCAAGACTCATCCTCCCACGTATCCTGCCCAACCAGGAATAGCAGCTGAGCCCAGCAAAGGGTAGAAACCATCAGGACATTCCCATTTCCCCACCCGCTGACTGCCCAGCCTGTCCTTGACTGCTCTGGTGGGGCACTTAGCTGGTTATGGGCTTCCCTTTGCTTCCCTGTCAGAAAGGGAGTTTCCTGCACTGAGTCAAAGAAATCTGTAGGGGATATGAATTCTGCATATGTGCAGTAGAACAGAATTCGCCCCAAGAGTAACACTGTTTCAAATATTTTAAATATTTATTTTCTATATTGAATTCTTGCAGATGCGTAGGAAGAATATTGTCGAGTGAATAAACCTACTGACCAGTATGAATAAACCCTTCCAATATGAAGGAAACAATGGACGTAACATTTTTTCATCAAGAATGATTTAGAAACGTATACAATCCAACAAGTGCTTTTTCTCCATAGAATAGGAAAAACATTTGATTTTCTTCACCTTCATCATCATTCTCCTCTTCATCATCATCTTCTTGCAGCTCTAAAGTTTCCTTAGGTTTGTTTTCCTCATCTTCCTCTTGTTTTCTCTTTTGCTCCTCTTTCTTCTTCTTTCTCTTTTCCTTTCTCTTTTCTCTTTTCGCAGCAAGAGCCTGTTTTCTGCTCTCTTCTCTTGACTATAGGAAAAAGCATTAATATTTAATTCTACCATTCATTATTACTGAAGAGAATATTAATCTTATGCTTACAAAGTCAGGGCTTCAATGGAAAAACCTGTCCAATGAGTAGATATTCAAGAAAAATTCTGTTATGACCCGAATCATTAAGCAGAAAGCGGTGGTAATGACAGCAGATGGAACAACAATTAAATAGAAGTAGTGGAGAACTAGGTAGAACTGCAGATTAAAAAAAAATTGGTCACCAAGTTCCGTGCCACCAGAATAATAAAGATGAGTGTTAAAGCAATTTCACATCTACATAGGACACCACTGTAATCTTCCATCTCCTCAGGTTTTTTCAACAATTTTTTGCAATGTAATCTGAGCTAATCACTCAGAAGGCTAGGAAAGTACTGTGTGCGCTACATACAGTATAGTCATTTTACAAACAGCTAAAATACAGTTCCTTCTTGGATACAAGGCAGTCAGTTAATAGTAACAACACTAAACTGTAAGTTAGCCCATGAAGTGAAAAATATTCTGGTAAGTTTCACCGAGTGTCAAAAGCTTAAAATCTCCTACAAGAAACCAGTGGGGATAGTAACGGACACAACCAAGTTCCAGCTTGTTGCCTATGCAGGTCAGGACAGCTGGATGGTGGAGCTTGCAACTTTAGACAGTCTGAAGTAGGAGTGTCAGAACCTCCAGGTTGCATGCTGCAGGACAAGGAAACTCTACAGGTTGGACCTCCCTGATTCGGCACCCTTGGGATTTGAGTGGTCCCGAATGAGGAAATTTGCCAGACCAAGGAAGGTCCCCTGCCACCGGCCCCCTCAGCCTGCTGCCCCTCCCTGCCGTCATCTTCTTTGGCCTTGCTGCTGGCCAGGCAATATGGCTGTCCCAACCCCACTGCCATAGCTGCTGCTCCAGCCCCACTGCTGGCTCAGCAGCACCCAACCTGGCCCTGCTGCCGCAGCACCAGCCCCACTAATGGCCAGCATGAACCCCACTTGGGCTGCCACGGCACAACCCTGCTTCTAGGCCAGCACGCATGGGCTTCCCCAACCTCAGCTGGGTTGCCTCCTTCTTGCTACCACAGCCCCCAACCTCCACTGGGCTGCTGAGGCCTGGCTCTGCCACCACCAGCCTGCCGTGTGCAGGGCTCTCAGCAGCAAGCAGGCTGCCCCAGGGCGCTGTGGTTCAGCAACATCCGTGGTTGACATACCTTTGAAAGAAAGTGTTGCTATATGAAGATACGCTGGCCAAAAACCAATCTAAGATGACAGATTTCTCCACTCACCTTACTTGCATTCTTATTTGCTTCTGCAGCTTGCTGGTCTTTAGCCTTCACAATTGTCTCCACACACTGGTGACACTTCTTCAATAGCTCCTGAAGAATAAGAGTCATTTTATTAAAGTGATCCTAAAAATCTGAAGTGAATCATTGCAGCTTGCTCTTCAAGAGTACGATTGGCTCGCTGGTACTTAAACATATAACTACTGGTACTCCAATATACTAAGGTACAGAGTGCCAGTATATGAAAAGCAGTTGTTTTTTTACCACAGCTTTCTGCATAACAATTCAGGTGATAACTGATTTTTTTTCCTTGATAGTTTTGCATTGTAGAAAGCACATTTCCCAAATTGGGAGGAATAAAATTTCATGAGGATCTCAGAAGTTCCTCTAATAGGTATGAAGTCTTTTAAAAAATTAGGAATAAATTCATGTTAACTCAGTCCCCTTTCCTTCAGTACTTTACTACTTAAATAACTATTCTAACAAACAAGAAAATAATATTCAAGTGATTTTGTTGTTGGCCTTACTCCTTAATATTCTTCCATCTTCTTCAGAACAAAATAACTAAGTTACATATGGCTCAGTTTGATAGAGTGACACAGACTAGCTGGCTGTAACTCGGTTTTTGAAAATTTTTCATTTTTCTATAGCTCGACTTGTAGAGTTTAATATGTTTTAAGAGAAAAAGGTGATGAATCCACAATGGAAAGATTTAAATAAGTTGCTATACAAAAACGGGAATAAAGTTATTGTTTTATTCTTGTGACATTTAAATATCGATTAAGATTCCACAAGAAATTTTTTAGCGACAGGATTTTCAGTGACAAGGATAGCATTTCACATACACTCAGAAAACAGCAGCTGATGGTGCTCTGGGCAAGGAAAAGCCCATTTACTAATAGTGAGAAGAGAAAGCATCACATTGTAACAAAGCTCAGTTATCCACTTAGTTTTTAAATGGCCTTCGATCTACCATTTAAGCAAATATTTAATTCGACAACACATTAACAACATGCAGTTTCAATTTCATATACTTGCTAAGACTATCAGAGCAGCAAGGGGGGAGGAGAAGAGAAGGGTACTTCAAAGTGGCAGTGCCGCACAGAGCCTGGGGTCAGCTGGGGTGTCTCCAGCTGATCCTGGGCTCAAAGCAGCACTGATGCTTTGAAATGCCACGCGGAGCCCAGGGTCAGCATTTCAAAGTGGCAGCCGCGTGGCTCCATGAGGCATGCCAGCTTGAAGTGTACTCTGAGTCCCCCACTGACCCCAGACTCCATGTGGGCACTTCCGCTTTGAAATACACAAAAGCCCCCACTTGGGCTCTTATGCATTTCAAAGTGGAAGTGTCCGCGTGGAGCCCTGAGTCAGTGGGACTTCCCACTGGGCCTGGGCTCCACATGGAGTTCAAACTTTGAAATGCATAAGAGCCTCTTGTACATTTCAAAGGCGGAACGTGAAAGTGCTTATCAAGTAGTCAAGTAGTTGATAGAAATTCCATCAACTACTCGACTAGTAAATTAATCACTACTTAACATCCCTAGTTAAGACTGGGGTATGGTCATCTACATATTTTCAAACACCCTTAGCACACTAAGTCAAGTTGATTCTCAAAAGTCAGTTCATCTCACCTTGTCAGTTATGGTTGCTATATATCGCATGCACTCGATGTCTGAAGGAAACTGGTTAACTTCTTTCACAAGGTACTGAACTACTTTCACATGACCCTGTAAAAGAAAAGAAAATTCTAGTCTCCTGTAAATACTGAAGTGAGTGTATGGCAGTTTTAGCTAACATGACAGTTTGAAAGCTAACATCTGAACAGGTAATTTAAAATAAAATGTTGTCAAGTACCACAACATCTATTAGTGTTTGTTAAGTATGGATAATGATCTTAGTGGTGTACAAAACAGTAACCAAGATAGACTCTTCCCTAAACAGCCCCAAGTCTAAAAGAAAAAGGGGAAGACAGGTAGGGAGAGATTTCTTAAATTTAAATAAGCAACATTTGTTGGCTCTGAGGATGTAACTGTGTACTCCTTTTTGAGACAGGGGCTCTACTTTGTGTTGTAGCCTACTTTGTAGATCAATAATATCACTTGACTCATTACCCTAAGTCTTGTGTTATGTGAAAAAGTAAATAAGTTTTCCTTATTTACTTTCTCCATACAGTCATGATTTATAGACCTATCATATCCCCTTTTGTAGTCTCTTTTCCAAACTGAAAAGTCCCAGTCTTGGGACTATTAATCTCTCTTCATATGGCTGCCGTTCCATGCCCCTAAATTTTTGTTGCCCTTTTCTGATCTTTTTTCCAGTACCAATATATCCTTTTTGAGAGAAAGTGACCACATCTGCATGCAGTATTCAAAATATGGGTGTGTCAGGAATTTATATAGAGGTAATAAATTCTGTTTTTTATTCTCTATCCCTTTTTAAATTATTTCTAACAGTTTGATTTTTTGACTGTCGCTGCACATTGAGTGGATGTTTTCAGAAAACTATCCACAATGACTCTGAGGTTTCTCTCAAGTGGTAACAGTTAACTTAGTCCTCATTTTAAACAAAGTTGGGATTGTTTTCCAATATGCATTATTTTGCATTTAGCAACATTTTGTTGAAATTCATCTGCAATTTTGTTCCTCAGTTGCCTGGTTTTGTGAAATCCTTTTGAAGCTCTTTGCAGTCTGCTTTTGAGTTCACGATCTTGAGCAGTTTTGTATCATCTGCGAATTTTGCCACCTCAGTGTTTACCCCTTTCTCCAGATCACTTATGAATAAGTTTAATAGGATTGGTCACAGGACAGACCCCTAATTATCTTTCCCCATTCTGAAAACTGACCACTTAATCCTACCCTTTGTTTCCTGGATTGATAACTGGTTAAAACACATGAGAGGACCTTTCCTCTTGTCCCATGACAGCTTACTTTGCTTCAGAGTCTTTGATGAGGGACCTTATCAAAGGCTTTCTGGAAATCTAAGTACACTATATCCACTGGATCCCCTTTGTCCACCTACTTGTCAATCCCCTCAAAGATGGACTCTGGACTAACACGTTTAAGCTACTAGGCACTTGGGAGTGCTGTGGCACGTCTGACATGGAATGTGCATTTGGGGGAGGGAAGGGAGGGAGGGAAGGCTAAGACCCAGAGCTAGCAACAGTGACAAGCCACTATCCAGATCCAGGTAATACAGACATAGATCCAGCAAGTGGAACAGGGTAACAGACGGGTGTTCCTCCAGATGAGCAGAGTGGGCCATCCTCTGAGAGTGACATCTGTGGTGGACTTGAAAGGAGGATGGTGGGCTGGAGACCTGCGATGGTGAAATGGTTTCATGCCAAGACCAGACCCTCAACCACTGTCAGCAGCAAAGTTATATATGCTCTGATGAACACAGAACACTGAAGCAGATCACCCCTCAAAGGTCAGGCATACATACTGAGTCATATTTTGGCCCTTTTTTATAGTTGCCTTAAAAACTAGTTGTATTCTTGCCACTTTCAAGACTACCCATTTCTATTTAAAGCTGGTTTTGAAAGTATTCAGCACTGAAAGACACAGGACCAATGTTTGCCTCATTAACTTACCTTACGAAAAGCTGACATAAGAGGTGTAATTTTCCGGTTATCTGCTGCATCCACATCAGCTCCAGCCTGGACAAGTAATTGCACTACATCAAAGTGACCGCCATTAGCTGCCAACCAGAGTGGGGTATTTCCCTTCTTGTTACGAACATCAATATGTGCTCCTCTAAAAAAGAGGAATGCAAGTCACAGGTCACATATGGCTGACAGAAAAAGGTAAAAAAATGGCTGTTCAAACAGCACTTAAGTTCATATCTTCTGTCACTGACAAACCTTCAGTGGCAAGTTGGGAAACTAAAAACTTAAATAGAAAAGAATTTCCCAACATAAGTTATAGCATAAACTTAAGCAAAAGACTTAAATGCATGACGTTAACGAGACCTATGGACATCTCTCTCCCATCTACATTAATCTCAGTCAGAATTAAGCAATTATTTCAACACAGAATTTAAACTCTATTCCTAATCCCTGTGATTAGTCAGCAGGGGGAAGCTGACAGAACAAGTGCGCTACTGATAAAATAAGAAATCTCACCTATTAATTAGGAGCTCACAGAACTTGTAATGGCCTTTGTCTGCTGCAATTGTTAAAGCAGTATCTCTTGAGGAAGGCACAGGTGGAGCATTGACATCTGCTCCTTTATCAAGGAGAACTCTTCCAACCTCTGCATACCCTCCAGAAGCAGCTTCCATCAAAGGGGTGAGACCCGTCTGAAAAAACCCAACCAAACAAGTTATAATATTTGCAACTGATGCAAAATATAGTCTGAGGGTTTCAGCAGTCAAAAACAAGGCCCCTTAATTATGAGCCTCTGCTTCTCTTTTTCCCCATTTGTTTCAGTTAGGGGAGTCTAACTAGGCAATTGTTTAACCATTGGTCTCAGGCTTTATAGGGGACTAGACAAATGGATGGCAAAACCCCATCAGAGGTTAATCTCAACTGCAAGAGCTTACAGTTTACTAAAGTATCCCTTAATACGGAGGGAAATATAGGTCCAAATGCAAACCACGGAGGGGGGGGGTGGTGGTGGTGGGTGGGTGTGGGTGTGGGTCAAACAAATAGCTCCGCACCACCTTTAAATTCCCTGTAGCAATGGGGCTGTCCTGGTATCTGTCCAGTCCCCAGGTCAGGATGTTCTAATATAGACCGGCTGCCAACATTCCTGAGTGACCACTGTAGAAGCTGGGTACAAGGAAACACTTGCCACATACCCTTTTCCAGTCACATTTCAAGCAAAAGCAGCTGAGAAAGGGGGCAAAGAAGCCACCAAAGTTGCAGCTTTAGAGTTTACCAAAAAATCCCCAGTGCTGGAAATCCCAGGGTATGACTTCCGATCTGCTGTGTTACAGGAATGAGGCAAAAAAGTTGTTCCATTGCACCAAAGAATGGGATGTCAGAGGAACAGGAACAAGCAGTGATACTGAACCATGCCTCAAACAACAAGAACAGTTTTCACCTAAGAAACGAAAGGTTTGATCTAAACCATTTTTTTGAGTGCATACAATACTGTATTTATGCATCACCATCAAAATACATGCAATATGTTTTTCCTTTTTTGCTTTCTGGACTCTTCCTGTGTATTCTGTTAATGAACATTAGTCATGTTAACCTTGAAATTTATAATCTCATGATCTTTAAGAGACCAAAAGTATCAGGACCAATTTTGTTTCCAATTCAGAAAGTATGAATTAACTGTTTTGGAAAAAGTAGATGAATGCCACTCAAACAGTCACATTTGTTTTTCACATATAATGCTTATTTTACAGTATATGAAAAAAAGCCTGACACACTGGCAGAAGCTAGAACAGTGAGACTTACCTTCAGCACATGAAAAATATTCATAAACAAAAGCTAGTGTGCTTATTTCCAGAATAATAATGATGACATTCTGGTAAAGTTTTATGTTTTGCAGTTCCCTGTGAGTAGTAGAGCTTTTTAAAAGAACTTTGAGATGTTTTGAACAAGAGTGGTCAAAAATATGGCCACCTATCCCACGGAGTAGTTTTTAAATCAGTGAAGTAAACATAAGCTAATGGGCTCAAAGATTTATATTAACAGAGAAACTTCAAAAAAACCTGACAAATCAATTCACTTGTCTGAAATTAATGTGAAGGGAAACCTATTCTGTCTGCTTACCTTAGCCCTATGTTCAACATTGGCTTTCCTATCCAAAAGGAGACTGACCACCTCGGCTCTACCCTGGAAACAGGCCAGGGTCAGGGCTGTATTTCTATTTGTCTCAATTTGCGCGTTAATATCAGAACCCATATCAAGCAACAGTTTCACTGCAGGTACATGGCCATTCATAGCAGCCAACATCAGAGGAGAAATCCCTAGCTTACTTCCAGTCCTAGAGAGAGAGAGAAAATAATTACAGATTATAGAACAAGATGACTCTTGATGAATCCTCCAGGAACTATGATGTATTTCAGCTGGAGGGTAACAACATTTTATCCAAGTATATACGCACTGACCTAAAGTATTTGTAATTCAAAACAGATTAGTGAAAGCCAGCAGGGTTCAGGTTGTTTGCAGTTTAAAGCCCACTAAAATAACCTTTTTTTTTAATAGAAAAAATAGATTCTTCTAAAGTATGTATTTATATTAATTCTAAGCCATTTAAAAAGACTGAAGGACCTGTGTTTAAGTCAAAGACCTGCATCTTCAGAAGTCTACATTTCAACCTATTCTGATTATATCAGACAGGTTAGCATTTCTACAATACGTGAACTTGTTATTTAACATGTAACAAATCCATGGCTATGTCTACATTGGCAGCTTCTTGTACAAGAACGGTTTTGCGGAAGAGTTCTTGTGCAAAAAGTCTTCCACAAGAGCGTCTCTGGTAGTGCGGATGCTCTCTTGGGCAAGAAAGCTCTGATGGCCATTTTAGCCATAGCGGTTTCTTGCACAAGAAATTCATGTTGCCTGTCTACACTGCCCTCTTGCGCAAGAGGGCTTATTTTTCGTGGGGAGAGGAATAACTCTTCTGGAAGAAGCCCTGTTTTCCGATACTGTACTGTAAATTTACTTGCGCAAGAACGCTCGTGCAGTGTAGACACCCGGCAAGTTTTTGCGCAAGAACAGTTGTTCTTGCACAAGAAGCCACCAGTGTAGACGTAGCATGTGTTTTAGTTCTTCCTTGTATGGGCCCCAGAGCCACTGAAAGCTTCAAAAATGTGTGCTCCATTGTGAGCTTTGGCTGATTCCCCTATTTAATTCAACTGGAAACAAACTGTTCGAGTGCTAGATTCCAATATGGAGAAAAGGAGCATGTACACAGGGTCATATGCAACACGAATGCAGGCACAAGAGCAACTTAAACACTGAAGGCATTTTTTTTGGTGGCAGGTGATCACCTGTAGCAGCTTCCTGAAAGGTATCCCTTCAGAAAAGCATAACATTTGAACAGCGCAAACTTAACATGGAGATTTGAAGACACTCCAAGATCCAATTTATGCCTTGATCTAGAACCAAAGGTGGAACATCTATCTGTCTCACACTGCAATTGGTCTAGGACATGGAAAGTATGTTACCTTGAATTAATTTCTGCTCCAGCATTAAGCAGAATCTTAATGATGTTGACATATCCCCCAGATGCAGCAAGGCTTAGCGGTGTGTAGTCAGACACGTTCCTATGCTCTTTATTTGCTCCTCGAGCCAGCAGCAAGTCAACTACCTGAAATGTACAGTATAAAGAGTGAGAAAAAATACTTGACTGGAGCCGTCAATTTCTTCTACTTCCTGGATAATGGAAAACACACCCCTCAAACCTTTAAGTACACTGCCAATGTCCATGGTCAGGAGGCAGGCTGGAGAGTGATGAAGTTCCCTACAGGATTTTTAATTTTACTTCTGCACAGTTCATTCTATTCCTAAGACAATGTGTGTGGGCTGTACCAATGCAGAATTTTTCCTCCAAAAGGCTTACTTTACCTAACTGAAGTTACAGGCCTCTTTAAAGGAATTCCTTCCTCGGTATGGAAGTCTGATATTTAGGACATAGTCCAGTCATAGGAAGTCGGAGATAGTTGGAGTTTGTGAGGGTTTCCCTTGTGGTGCTTTCCACAACTTGGATAAAAAAGTGACCGACACCAATTTTGGTTATGTTTACATTGCCAGCAAAAAGCATAAGGATTCCCAAATCATGATGGGAGTTAAAAGAAAGTGAGGGAATGGTGGAAAGGACACTTCCCCACTTATGACCCCATTTCCATTTATTAATTCTCCTGGCAATTACTACATTTATTATCTCCGGAGATCCTGGCATTTTTCATGCGTGCATTTGGGCTACAACAGTTTCCCACGTTTTCCTTTAAGTTTCTCTGCCTTTGACATCACAAGTAGGTAAGACCTAACAGCTTAGAAGCAAATTTGAGGGTAAAGAACAAGAAATGAAAGCTGTAATTTACCCACTTCAGAATCTATAGACTAAATGGTAAGCAAGGTATCTGTACCTCTTGGCGTCCTCCAGAACATGCCAGCGAAAGTGGAGTGTCCTTTGTGCGCTCTGACTGTGCTTCTATATCCCCACCTTTGTCTAAAAGAATTTCCACCACACCAACATGTCCAGCAGTTGCAGCCAGAATAAGCGGTGTAAAACCTAATGCAAAAAGGATCACAATTGGAAGCAGCTCTGAAAAACTCAAAATATAATAGCTAGCAGGGAAGTACATATGAATGGCTTGATTCAATAAATACCTAGGTCAAATATCAGAGCGATCATCCACAGACAAGAAGATGAATTCTAAATGTATCCCAATATAGTTTTAGGGTACTGTATTTTAGAACAGTACTAGCTCTTCTGTTACTGAGGCAGAGAAGAGTTTTGCTTGAAGGATGGCTCCTAAGAGCTCTAAAATCCATATTCCTCTTTGGATGGTCTAAATTCTGCTGTGTCTCCTGGGGGATGGTGAGTAGTACTAGGCCTCAAATTTGGAGTAATTTAAGCAAGAAGTCCTCAGATACAGTCCCCAAGACCACACTTCACAGTCAGATTCCTATAACTTTAGTGCCTGGCACCCCACTGCCACTTTGACGTTTTCAGCATTGCTCCCCCAAAGAAGAGTTTGACTCTCTAACAGTATGTGCTAACCCAGCAGTAGGGAACCTTTCTTGTGTTGGGGGCAGCTGATCCACAGAAAAAAAAATCAGTTGGGGGCCACACACAAGTGAGAAAAACCCCCAAAACCAAACCCTTGCTGACGTGGCCCCCAACTGAGAAGGACACTCTCCACATCCTCCTCATTCCTCAAGCCCTGGAGCCGAGGGGTGCCCAGCCTACTTGATTGTGTCCTCCAGCCCCAGAGAAGGCTAGTGGGGGGCTGGAGCGCCAGTGTGGGCTCCCCAATGCTGGGGGGCCCAGCATCTAGCCTCCGGGCCTAAGGTTCCCCATTCCTGCGCTAAACACTCAGGAGCCAGAGACTCTGAATTTGCAGCAAGCCTCAACAAGAGGGCTTGTAGCCAGCACTCCGTCACAGAAAGTTGGTGGTTCCAGGAAACCTGCTGCAACCACAATCTTAGCTACGCTGTCACATTGCAAATTCAACCCTTGATCTGGCTGGAAGCAGAGAATGCCCTGTGGCACATGCTACTAGGCACCTCTCTGAAGAGCCTGGTTTTGGGTTTTTACTTTTGGGAAATGGGAACCTACTAATTATACAGCTGATTTAGAAATGGTTTTAACTATTTTTTGAAAGATAATATTACAGATACCCAATAACAGCTGCTGCGCCCATAAGTACCTTCCACATTGGGTATTAGTACAACTGCCCCACCAGCACTGACTCATGAGTTAGGCATAGATTAACCAGAAGGAAGAAGAAAGGCAGGGAGGGTTATGTAATCATGTTTCCTAAATGAGGGACCTGCAAGTGCTTATATCACGGCACATGTTCCTGATAAACAGCTTACTAACATGAGGTGCTCATAATCTCATTAGATCCTGTACTGTTTCTCAGTGCACAGCTAGGGAAGGAGAATGGGTTTGGGGAGCAATGAAAGGGAGGCTCTGTGGGACTCAGAGTGGGTGCCCAAGAAGGTGGGAGGCCTAGCAATTCTACATTCTCCTCTCCTACATACATACATAAGGATCTGGGGCCTCCAATCCTTCTCAGAGGGTTTGAATGGCTATAACCCCTGGCCCTTCCCCACATGAAAGCTGGGCAATGGAGACTGATCTGCTCTCCCAACTACCCTATGTATGTGCATCAGGCTCTGAGGATGCTCTGCCCCTTGGGGAGGATGGGACTTGAGCCCCATTCCTGCATACCCCTTTGTGAGCTAGCATAGAGCATCCTTGCCCCTCTGGGTGGAGAACTGAGATTAGGCATGCTTCAAGCATGCAGTACTGAGGCAGGGTGAGGAGCTGAGAATGGGCAGATCTGCTGCATGGCACAGGCTCTCAAGCGTGGATAGAAGGGCTGGAGGGGAAGGAACGAGAACATTCACTGAGATGAATGGAGCATTCTCTCCACTTGAACATGAAATCAGAGTTCAAACTGTAGTTTTTAGCAGCTTACCCTTCTTGTCTCTGTGTTCAATATTAGCACCTCGTGCTATCAATACAGATACAAGCTCTTCATGGCCTCCTGCGCATGCAAGGGTCAGTGCAGTGTCGTGATTACTCTCCGTCTTTATGGGGGAGGCGGGAGAAAAAGTTGACATTTGTAAAAGGGAAGTATTTTTAGTACAGAATAATCACATCACTGCTAGACTGACATATAATTGTCAATTTTAAAACAAGCCAGCGTAAAGCAGGTAAGTTTGTAGACAAGTTACTTACATGCGCATCAATATCAACTGAAGGATACATGGGGAGCACAGACTGAGAACCAGCATTGCTTGGTGTTTGTGTACAGGGCTCAGGTGTAGGGGATTCCGTAGTGTGTGAGGAACTAGTGGAGCCAGTGGGCACTCTGCTATTCACAGCTGAAAAACAACATTAAGACGGTTATTCTACTCTTGACACTTACTTGAGCACTTTACATGGGGGGGGGAGGGGAGAAAATACTGTACTACAGAATCTTAATACAATAAGAATGCATTTTCTAAAAAGAGTTTAGTTTTAAATGTCTCTAAAAACCCCTCTGCCACTTTTAATGTAATTTGAAGATCATAAGGCATCATATCCAAACTGTACTTGGGTCAGAAAGCCTATTTTAACAGATTAGGCTGCAAATCATTTTTCTGCATACAACCACAAAGATAATAAATTACCTAATATTGTAACCTCAGGAGTGACAGTTTACTTATATGTTCCACCTAGGCAAACAATTGTAAAGGATTTATGAAAGTTAAGAAACAAGGAATAAGTAAGAACTATTTCATATAATGTACATTTCTAGATAAGACAACTGAAGCAAGAAGAGAAAGTGAGTTCCAGAAATAATTCTGGCTACAGCAAATTAAGGACATAGGGAAAAATAGGAAGATGATGGCAGTCCACAAGGCAGGCACATAAACAAGTAAGTATTTTCTTTCTAAAATTGTGCGCTGTGATCCAGGTTTTCATGACAGGGCTGCAAAACTCCATCTCCACTTAAAAGAATGTTACTTTAAAAACATACAAATAGCGAGACTATTTTCTAAATTTTTCACTATTTGAATTGAGGTTTGTAACTAAGAATTAGTTGTATTTACACAGAGCTACAATTAAAAGACTAGAAACCACAAGCAGAAATGCCAGAAACACCATTGTAAGTATTTTCTAGGCTCCGAGCTCAGCCTTAGCCTCAAGGCACACTGATGGATCATCCATACATAGTATTTTTGAAGAAAAAATCCAAACAAATTGGAATGGCTCTGACAAAAATCAGATTGACAGGAAAGTTCCCTAATGACCTTGTTTCTAGTTAAATTTCAATACCTTTCATTAGAATGTAAAAAGAGATGACCCAGAGAATAAAAAAACTGGCATGAAAACCACATCCGGACATCAAAATTCGCATCTTGTGGTACTACCAGATTTCTGTATTGTACGCTAGCTTCTCTAACTGGCCAGAGCAATATTTGATTTATTCAAACCAGTAAGACAGTGCAAAATTAATCTAAATCATGTAATATTTTACAGTATTTCTGGAGCAAGCAATTATGAGAAAGGTTCATGAAGAGTTCAGGTGGCAAATAAGCTGCAGGACTATTTTGTTTCAATGTAAATATTCTCTGTACTAATGGAAGATGGAAGAGAAAAAAAATGCGGTAAGAATGGTTTCTCAACAGAAACTTCAGCAGTTTTTCCCCTGAGCAGTTATTCACTAATGGAATGGATTTAAAATTGAACCATTGATTGAAAATAGAGAGCATCAATTCATGATATAGGATGAAAGTCAAATTATTGGAAAGATCTTAGATCAGAGACAGTAGGGCACTCCCAGTCAGTCAGTCAAAATATATTCTGGTTAGGTGATACAAATATGTTCACATACCTATTTCATAAGTGGAACAGATTTTTGAAGAACCCAAACTGAGTTCTTAAAGCCAGGACAATTTGTTTTAAAAAAAAAAAAAAACCCCAAGCATTTGAGGTGGAAGTTTTCAGTTACATTCCAAAGGCATTCCGTTTAGGGTCAGGACTCTCACTGCAGCGTACAGGTCAAAAGTGAGCAATGAAGGTTAGTTACAATTCTAAATTGGCCTCAAAAGCTAAGCACCTTGTGAACACAACAGGTTCATATGAGTTTCTAGATACAAAGGTCTTATGCTGCATACTTTTAATATGGATTAATACTTACTACCTCAGCAGAGTGTTGACAGTTAATGTAATATAGTGCTTTACATGTTCAAAACACTATTAAGTGCTAAGTTAAGTAGATTTAAAAAGATTCGTGTTTTGCAAAACAGTAATACACTAAATCATCCAGCTAAGGATCGATTTCCCCCTAATATAAGCTAACAGCATCCTTCTGATGTACAGGCAGTCCCCGGGTTACGTACAAGATAGGGATTGTAGGTTTGTTCTTAAGTTGAATTTGTACGTAAGTCAGAACTGGTACATATTGTACCCCAGGTGTCCCCGATTCAGCTGCTGCTGAAACTGACCAGCGGCTGACTACAGGAAGCCCGAGGCAGAGCTGCTTTGCCCCAGGCTTCCTGGAATCAGCTGCTGATCAGTTTCAGCAGCAGCTGACTTGGGGACACCTGTGGTAGAGCAGCTGGGGTGCTGCTGGGTTGGTCCAGTAGCACCACACCTCGGTGCTGTGGGACCAACCTGGCAGCCCCCCAGCTGCTCTACCCCAGGTGTCGGCAAGAAAAGCCTGGTCTGCTGGGGGGAGGGAGGGGGGGGGAACCAGCAGTGACAGGTGCACCAGCCTGGCCAGAGTTGACCCTGTCCACGTGTAGGTGACTGCGCTGCAGGCAGGGTCTGTTCCAGATGGGAGGAAGGAGCACCTCCCTCTTAATCAGTTAACTGGTTAAACATGTTTAACCAGTTAATCGATTAAAGGGGATTTTACATCCCTACCTGCTATCTTTAGTCCCTGAAGAATGAAATAGGAAACCTGAAGGAGCTCTCTACTGATGTACTTCAGTAAACTTGTGTGGTACTGAACCATGAGAATGAAGTCCCCCTTCCCTTTGGGAAAATGTGCATGGTTCCATTGGAGTAGGTATGTTCCATTCATGACATGAAAAGTTAAACAACATAAGAATTGCCATATTGGGTCAGAGCAAAGGTTCATCTAGCCCAGTATCCTGTCATCTGACAGTGGCCAATGCCAGATGCCCTGGAGGGAATGAACAGCTACAGGTAATCATCAAGTGATCCCTCTCCTGTCATCCATTTCCAGCCCAACAAACAGGCTAGAAAAACCTTTCCTACCCATTCCGGCTAATAAGTATTGATGGACCTAACCCCCATGAATTTATCTACAGTAAGCTTCCGATAATCCGGCACCTTTAGGAGCCAGGGGGTGCCGGATTATCAGATGTGTCAGACTATCAGAAGGAGAGGCTATGAGGGGCCTGGGGTGGGGTGGATGCCACCCCAGACCCCTCATAGCCCCCCCTTCTGATAGTCCGGCTCTGCCCCAGGCGTCCCCGATTCAGCCTAACCCCCATGAATTTATCTACAGTAAGCTTCCGATAATCCGGCACCTTTAGGAGCCAGGGGGTGCCGGATTATCAGATGTGTCAGACTATCAGAAGGAGAGGCTATGAGGGGCCTGGGGTGGGGTGGATGCCACCCCAGACCCCTCATAGCCCCCCCTTCTGATAGTCCGGCTCTGCCCCAGGCGTCCCCGATTCAGCCGCTGGTCAGTTTCAGCAGCAGCTAAATTGGGGACGCCTGGGGCAGAGCCGCTGGGGTGCTGCTGGGTTGGTCCAGTAGCGCCCCTCCTCGGCTGAAACTGACCAGCAGCGGCTGAATTAGGGCGGC